GAACTGGGGAGCCCAAACTGGACACAGGATTCCAGGGGTGGTCTCCCCAGGGCAGACCAGAGGGGCAAGAGAACCTCCCTAGCCCTGCTGGACACAATTTTCCTGATGCCCCCCCAGGATCCCACTGGCCTCTTGGCCACAAGGGCACGGTGCTGTCCCAGGGACAACTCACTGCCCACTGGGACTCCGAGGTCTTTCTCCATGGGGCTGCTTTCCAGCAGGACGAACCCTGATCTGTACCTAAGTGCCCTCTAATTCCTTTAATCACCCAGCACCAGCCCAGGAAAGGCACAGAAGAGCCAGGACCCTCCTCCCACTCCCCCCGCCAGTGCCCCACAATTGCCCCACCTCACCCCCAGCACCTTCCAGCAAAGTCTTGTCCCTCTGGCCTTGAGTTTTCTGCTGCATTTAGCGTTTTGCAGCCAATACACTGATTTTATACCTTTACACTTGGTCTTTTCACCAGCTCATGATGACTCCTAACACAGCAGTGTCTGCAGCCCCACAGCTTATTATAGATTTCCCACTAGACAGCATGTCCAGCAAGAACATTTTTCATTTTCTTTGCTTCTGTTTATCTAATTTTATCACAGTAAACTTCCTAGCCTCTGGGAGAACAGCTTGCATTTATAATGGGAAAAGCACAGCGAGTTAAGACACTCAGCACAAACCAGATGCCTCTGTCCCCCACGTCAACAAAAATACATCTTTCTGTCATACGTGAAATATATTAACCATAAAAACATATTCTTCCTTAATAGCTAAGCATTATAAATTGGCTTTCAGAACAATTTAATACTCCCTAAACACAGAGTATGTACAGAAAGCATCTGTCTGAAGAGGAAAATGGGAAAATTATTGGGTTATTCTAAATCCCATAATACTTTCTGTCCTTTCAACCAAGAACAGGAAACTTCTTTTCATCAAGAAAATGCATTTAGACAGATTTCTCTCAGTATTAAACATCTCATCTCCCTTACGCTGAGCAGAACTATTCATTACATTGAACGTTCGGCTGGTTTCTTCAACACGCACTTCCTTTCCAACTCAAGATTTTGGCTAAGCGACAAGTTTTAAAAAAGCTAAAGTAATGGGAAATTTCACAAGATCTGTCCACTTGTATATATTTAGCTATGCTTATAGTTCTCTACATTTTTATCGGTCATAAGCTGCAGTACCTATAAATCAGACTGCTTATGGAGGTGAAGGAGAACATGGAAAAAAAATGAATTGGAAAAAAACAAAACTCAATCAACGGTAGGTTTCTAAAAAACGTTAAGTGGAAAAAAAAATCCCCACATCTAAAAATTTACTTCCTAAAGTATCCACGTTTGGATAATCCTCCACACATGCCATTTCAGTTAGAGACTCCTAGAAGAGAGTTGCTTTACGGGAAAGTTTCAAGTTAAATAAAACGGGCTTGACAGTCCACTCCATCAGCCCACGTTAACACGGCCACCGGAGACAGGAGAAAATTCTCCAACTGCTGAAAACAATCTACACATCCAAGCTAGGCTTTTATTTTTTTTAAAGTACCATAACTTGTTACAAGGTCTTAAGATAGCAATAGGAATTCCTGTTTAAACGGAGATAAACACACACATTTGTTCTTTCACATTAAATGCACGTGTAAACACACGCCCACTGTTGTAACTGCAAAAATTAATCTGTAAATTCCATTAAAAATAATTCAATGGACTTGGTGAAACACTCCCCTCAAGCTATTCCAGTCCTGAAGTCACGACGTAGACTTCAGGCTTCACTCAGAAATAATGACTCTAAGTTACTAGACTTCAAACCAAACCAGAAAAACCCAACCACAAACCCCCCTTCACTTTTTATATTGTTGCAAAACATTTTGAAAGACGTTCTGTAAAATTCTGATTATTCTGGAAACGTCTATGGACAAAACTAAAAGGAAAATTACATTCTGCAGGCATGGGGGTTTTTTTTGTATTGGTAGCATCTTTTTTTTATCAGCACTAAAATACCGATTTTTAAATGCTAACAGCATAGTTGAAAAATGTATAAAGTAGACATTGATGTTTTGATCATTTCAAACGAAATGAATTTTTCCCTGAAGAGAAAAGTATTTAAATTATTCCAGGTGATAAGATGCACCAGAGGGCATTTTGCTACGTGCCACAACGCAAACCAACGGCTCCAAAGTTGACAATTGTCCAGCAGTTCACAGAAGAAACTGCGCAGGGCAGTAGCATTTGCGATGTGGTAACTCCTAAGAAAGTCGGGTGCAGTCGGCACCAGGGACTCACCCATCCAATCTCACGTCAGGTAAACTCCGGTTCAGAGCGATCAAGTCGCTGGCCATCAGGTTAAACTGGTTGATTTTGAACAGCTCCTTCATCTTCTCCTGCTCATCCTTGGGGATGAGCACGGCCTTGCCCATCTCGCCAGGTCCTTCTTGGTTTCGAGAAATAACGGCTGGAACACACGAGAGCAAAAGGCAACGTTTAGCGCGGGGGCAGCAGCTCTAGTCCTCACCAACGGCACTCCCAAACTTCGGCTGCTCAA